CTCATAGCACGCAGTGTGGTAGCCTTTTTTGAGGTTTTTGAAGACTTTGGTGATTTTTGAAGCTTTTCCAAAACTTTTCCGACACCGTGCTTCGCAAGACGAAAAAAACCGCAAGACGAAAAAACTCGCGGAATGAATTAATTTCGTCTTGCGAGGCACCACTGTATCAGGTTAGAGATGGGTGAATCTGTCAATTTCGGTTTCTTGCTTGTCCGTTCATCTCATTCCTGCATTTGAAATAGGATCAAATGGGTATTTCGAAAATCAAAAGTAGCAAAAGTTAGCTGCATATCCTCAAAGCTGTTCTACCTCAAGGAGCAAAATGTCTTTAGGCCACTCCTGCCATCTTGTGATTTTTATTTGACATGCCAACCCTATAAATAAACAATTTAACAAAATAAATGGGAAAACCCTTATTTCTTCAATAGGGTCATATGAACCAACAGGATGAAAACTGTGGGGATTACTGACAAAAATGTACTCTTTTCCAGAGCAATTTGGGAAAGGGAAAACAGGATGATGTCTACACCCAGAAAGATTTTTGTCACCCTGGTTTATTGGGGCAAAACTAGACATGACATTAAATGTGTTTTTGTGTTTCAAATGGAGGATTTTATTTTATTTTTAATTCAAATTGCATCAGCAGCAGGGTTGATAATTAATAGGACTGGAGCAGGCATGGAGATGAAATTTAACCCTTTCCTCTTTGACTATAGGCCTAAGGAAAATCTCTCATATGAAATTAGTATTTGTTTTGGTGTCAATGAGGGATTTCCTCCAAAAGGAAGAAGAGGGTTTTCCTCAGGAGTCAAGCAGGGAAGAAAAGGGTTAGATTCCACTTCTGCTTTTGTTTTCACGCCCCCCACCCCCATGTTGGTACAGTTTGCATTAAAATACAGTTCTTTAACATCAAGTGTAGTTTGGTCTCAGTGTGAAGGACAGAAACCTGGTTTATGTAAAGGTCTCAGGCATATATATTCCTCTTCACTTGTGTGTACTGTGCCTAAGTGAGGCAGACTGAGAGGTTCAGGATGTTTGTGATGGTGAGAGGTTTGCTAAATATATATATATTCACTGAGGCAAAGAAAATGGACATAGCCATTAATTAGTAAGAAGTAAGTCTCAAATTACGTGCAAGCATTAAGGTTGTTTCAGTGAATGCTAGGAAATTATGATGAACATAAAGGCAGCTCATCTGCATTCAAGGAACTAAATGTCTTGAGATATTAAAGCAAAACAGCTTTGGTTTTGAAACTGATTTTTTTTTTTAAAAAGTTGAAGAAAAATTGCTAATGGTTTTAGGACTCCATTATGGATATATATAAAAAGAAATCAAACATGCTTCTGATTGGACTCAACAGATTTGCATATGACTGGGATGCCTGCAGATCCTAGTAAAGGAAATAGCATCCATGCAACAATGCAGAATGGCTAATGCTCCTTAGATTCTTTAAAAAACACCACAGGGTATAATGGGACATTGAAACATGAGAATCCATCAGGGCACTGGTCTGATGCCAGAAGGGAGCGGACAGCAGCCGGAAGGCATTAAGTGGATTTCAGTTCTCCTAAAATGGTGATTGAAGTCCAGCATGACAAAGTCATGTTGATTCTCAATTCACTACAGCGCAGCTTTTCAAAATGTACTAATTAAATGGGGCGGAAACAAGCCTTAGAACTCATCATCTTGGCACATAGTGGGCACAATTATGGGAGGAAACGTCGGGGTCACTGAATTAAATGCACAAGACCATTGCAAATTTCAGGCAAAGACTCTCCTCCTGCAAGAGAGGGGAGTGGTTGTGGTCGGGAGCCGGACTCCACCTCAAGCAGGGGGCGTTAGCCCCCTGCCTCCCACTCACCTGGCTGGCGCCCACGCCTACCGGCAGGCACCCAACCAGGTGCCTGCGAGGGGGCGTGTTTAGCAGCCTAAATTGCTGCGGCACCAGCCTTCCGGCCTCACTTTTCATTGTCCCGTCGCAAGTCACCCACCCTCCACTCCCTTAGAGCTCAGGGTCTCAGTTTTCTTTTGGCCTTGCTATGGACCTTAGGTTGGTTGCCCTGGTTGTCCGGGGGGCCTGGTAGGAATTTTTCCATTTGGCATTAGGCTTTTTGGTTTTTTCGCCTACCTCGTAGCAATCGTCACAACTTTCGTGGTATTGGTGGGTAGGTTAGGCATTGGAATAATGTGTTGTGGTGTGTCGAAGGGCTAGGTGTGGCCTTCGCCTGCGCCTTCAATTTTGGGTATTCCGTTAAAGGAATCCGGCGGTTGTGTATTCTGTCCGATGCCTGCGTGGCGGGAGGCCATGGCACGACCCTCGGTGACATCAGGGGAGAGCTTATAGTTGGATTAGCATCAACAGGCTCCACCTACTGGTGAATAAACCCCCCTGTTTTAGACTCACCCCTCTCTGAGGGGGTGGAGTCAGCTGACATAATCCAATGCCTAAGCCAATACCTTTTCACTTGCTGTAATCAATAAAGTTGTAGCCTTTTCTTGCCCATTAACCTTATATCACGTGTCCTTGTGTTTTCATTCCACTACCCGGGGATCGGGTCCTCGAACCACAAATGATGGCTTTCAGAAGCTTCTAAACATGGCAGCAAAGGGGCTATCACAAAAGGTTGTTGATTAATTAAATTAGTATACCACCTTTTAGTCGAAGATCACAGGGAGGTTCACAACATAAAAATACCGAATGAGATCACAGAATACACAAAAGGGGGGGGGACAAATTAAAAAAACCTAAACCAATAAGGTAAATGAGGGTAGCCTTCTTTATGCACCTTGTAACTCAAGCACACATGGTCAAACCTCGAGTATACTTGCCTCATCAGACACTGAACTCACTAGACAAGGAATTGTACATAGAGTAGTATAAGTAATTGCTTATGAAGTGGATTTTACATTAGCTAATGGAGTTTGGATGCAAATGAAAGTAACAAAGATAATTAAAGCTGGCTTCAAATGTGTACTTAGCACATGATTAAGATTCATGTGCCGGCTTACAAAATGCACAGTTCCAGCGTGACATTGTATCTCACGTTTTGCTTCTTCTTCTTTGACATCTCAGTGCATATCTGCAGTTCATAGGCCAGTCACTAGCCTTTGATTAATTGTGGGGCTGGGCCAGCATAGGACATTTTGGAACATGAGGTATAGTAACCCTGTCATAGTAAAACAAATAAAGGCAAGTCTAAGTGTGAAGGTAAGGGCTTAATCGGTCAAGGCAGCGGTGCTGTTGGTCAGAAGGAGAGCTGAACTGGGAGCAGGCTGGGTTGTATTCCCCTTGAAAGACCAATCAGGTCTGTAGCTTGCTTCCGGTCCCAGTTCCACTCCCAGTGGCAGACAGGCTTGGAGTGCTTTGGCACAGTTGCACCCTATTCTGAATAAAGCAGACCTGGTCAACTGTGACACATCCCCAATCCACGGAATTACTGAAATGCACTCTGTGTGAGGCTGCCTCTAAAAGCCATTCTGAAACGTCATTTGACTTCCACATCATTTCCAGATGCAATCTGAAATGCTGGTTCTTTCTTGTAAGCCCCATGTGGTTTGGGAGTAGGTTATTTGAGGGCATTCCATACACTCCTGTCAACCCACTGTATTTAACACTGAAGGCTCTGCTAATTGTCGCATCACATTCAGAAGCCCAAGTCATTGGAAAATGAGGCATGTGGCATCAATATTTTAGAACCCTATGAGACATTTTGGGGGCCCTCTCTTTTAAACTTTACATGAGCAGCTAAGGTCTTTTTGTTCCATCAAGCTTCCAGTGTCTCATTGTTATACTGACATTTAAAAAACCTGCTCGTTTTTAATGAGTGAAATTCATAAACTGTTTCATTGTAATTTGAGCTGCTTCTTTTGTTGTTGTTGCTTTATAGGCTTGAGCTGTTTTATTGGTTGCATAAGCACCATTCCTTGAAAACACATTCAAAGCACATTATTTGCCCCAAAGAATTCTGGGAACTGTTGTTTACCGCTTAATAAACTACACTTCCCAGGATTCTTTGGGGGGAGCAATGTGCTTTAAATGTGTGATGTGGCTGTGACCCAAGCATCCCACCTCTATTCCAGATGCAGGCACAAACATACTACCATTGAAGGAAGATACCTAGAAACTCAGTTGATAACATCCCTGCTTTTGATATATGTATCTCACAGCGTACCACTAGGCAGAGATCATGGATAAGATAGAATGTTGGCACGCTTGGTCTTTCCTCATCCAAATCAGCTCTAATTCAATGCTATCCAAGGTTATAAAAGACCTTTCTAACCTGAAAGATCTATCTGTGTTAATAAAAAATAATGACAGTTACTATGCTCCATATTTCTGGGTGAGAGCTGTAAGCACTATAAGGGTGTTCTTTTAAACAGAGACTGAAATCCTAGACTGAATATGTTTGCGAAGGAAGTGAAAGCAGCCCAGGAACTCGTGGGCATCGTTTGCTCAGAGAAGGAAATGACAATAAGTATTCTTTAAAGAATGGATTCATTTGCAACTCAACTAGTGAGGCTGTTTATCAAACAGAGAAAATCTATTATATATGCAAGCTGAGCTCTAAATGATATTAGTGAGGAAAAATTCAGTCCCCGAGAGGGTACATTTTCTGTAATATGGCTATAAAGTATTATGGGATATATAATACATACATATCTGGAGGAGTGATTGAATATTTCATTCTCTTGCGCTACCACATATATATTTTTTCTCGCACGAATCGACGAGATGTCACAAACCCAGTTGTTTTTATTCATTGTGAATAATGTTAACTGTAAATGTCATTTTCTGTTTATAAATAATTTTGAACACAATGCCAGTTACTACAATTGTATATTAATCATAATCTCAGCCTAGTTTGTGTGATTTCTTGCAATGTTTCAGACTTTCAATTAGACCTGGTACAATTGTTTATTCCAAGAGCCTGAAAAGTGGCCTGTCGTACAGTATCATTCCCACACTCGGAATGGATGACTGAGATCATTTAACCTGCAGAATAATCAATTAGGTACATCAGCTAAGAATGCAAATTGTGTGGACACACTGTATCACATTAGGGGAAATGAAGATTTAATGGACAGAGGCCATCAACAGCAGCTGGTGGACCATGGAGAGAGAAGATTTGAAGAAGAGGACAATGAGAATAGACGTCATTTTTTTGAACCACCAGAAGTAGATGCATCAGAAGGTATTTTGTGCAGCTGGTGGTGAGGAACTATAACCAGACATTTTCTCATGAACAAGGAGACATCTTTGGGAAGTTCTCTTATTATTTGTTTATGCATTTACATCCCATCATAGAATTCAAGGCAAATCATATATAATTTGCCCACCTAAGAAGTGACCAGGCCCAGACCTTGTAGCTTTGGGAGGGGAGCAAGAGGTCTCCTAGCAACTCTCAGCACCCTTAACAAACTACAATTCCCAGGATTCTTTGGGAGAATCCATGGCTGTTTCAAGTGGCATCACAGTGCTTGAAATGGGACAAGAGAATGGCTGAGCCTGCTCAGACTACCAGCCCTAGTGCTAAAAATGCCTATCTTGCTGGGCTATCCCATTTCATCAGCTTCTTTAAAAAATGGTCCAATTGATATGTATGAAAACACTCCACAGCAGCTCCAATTTTAGTAAATTATGAATTGGGCCTTAGCCTTTTCGGAAGCCAATTGAAAGAGGAGGAGAAGGATGCTGGTGACTGGTGATTCCCCCCCCCCCAACAGGATCATGCAAACATCCATTAGGTGGATCTGGCATCCTGATTGATGTGCACCCTGCTTGGTAGTTTGACAAGGGGAATGCTAGATTCCAGCATGTCCCCTGACTACACAATCTTCATCTCTATGTGCAGCAGTGATAATTAGCAGATCAGAGGGGACCATAAATCTCAAGGCCATCAGGTGATTTCTTCTGGGATAGTTTCAGTCAGGGACAGATGCATTCTTAAAGGAGGACATTTGCTCTGCCAGCTGATAGTGTCATTAGTTTGTAAAAAGAAAAGAAAAGGTGAATCGATTGTGTTTTGGAGTAAGTAGCCTTTGGCCATGATTTGTGAAGTTCATTGTGAAATCTTTCACAGGATAAATGGCTGTTTTCAAAAGGGTCCCATTGAATCTTAATCCAATGTAAACAGAAAGTTCGGCTAAATGTTCACAAACAGCTCAAACTCTTCCTTTTAACAGTTTGTGTTGTGGTATTTCAGAAATTCACATTCAAAAATTCACACTCATGGCTAACTATGTGCAGAATATTTAGGGTTACATTGATCTGACTGCAAGAGTTAAACACAAGCTTAAAGCTCTCCATTGAACTGAACTGAACTGAATTAAACTTAAAAAAAAAAAGTGTTACTTGGCAGGATCATACCAGGGCTGGCTCAAGACAGCCTATGCTGTAATAATTTTGTTAGTCTTAAAAGGTGCCACAAGAGTCTGTGTTGTTCCTGCACAAAATTACTTTGACCACTCCTACTTCTTAAGCCTTTATTATCACAACACCATCACATCCAAGGCTGGATGTATGTTGGCCACTACACCAGCTGAATGGTCCCCATATCCAGTGCATGTCCAGTCTGGGACAGGAAAGGAAATACATACACAACTAAAATAAAAATAAAAATCAGAAGAATAGCATAAAGTAACAATGGCCCTGGAAACAATACCATGGCCCACCAATGAAGGACTGTGTTGGCAATGACACCCATATATGAGCTGTGCACAGAAGCAGCTAATGAACTCATGCTGATGGGGACACCACCACCCACAGCACATTCCATCCATCCATCCTCCCACACACTTCATGCAAGATAATGTAACAGCATTCTGCTCTATCAGCCCCATTGGGACAACCAAATGCAAAACACTACTAAACCTTAGGTTACATAAATACAATCCTGGTAACAACACATAGAAGGTAACAGGCTGTTTTTGACTATGTAACTTCTATTTCAAACACAATCCAACATATAATATCTGTCAGGTTTAGCGCTTCTCCCACACATGACACGGAACTCTGGCAGTTTAAGTAGCTGAGGTTTATTGACTCAACTGGTTTCTGACCCCTCCCAAGGCCAGATATACGTCACGTCCTCCGCCGCCTACTGCTAGCCCTCCTTTTCTCTAATCGCTTGCTCCTCCTCCTCCTTCTTGGTGACTCAGGTTACAGCCAATTCCTCTTCCTCTGGAGATTCCTCTCTGCTGGGAGTGTCCCTGACAATATCTCACAAAGTGTAATTCCATAGACAAACACATCATGCAAACAGAACATATCAAGAGAAATTAAAGTCCAATGGATGGTCAGGAGATAAAGTCCATTCGGTTCCTAAATTGGCATATTGGCAATAACCACAATATGGTATGCTTATCTTATTATGTTCCCCGTATTGCTGCTTTGAGGATTCTAACGTTCCTTGTATGTAGACATTGGATCAGATGGAAAACTTGAAGGAATGGCACATGTAGATATCCTTTTTAATCTTAAGTAGTCAAAAACAGCCTGTTACGTTGTGTGTGTTGTTACTATTGGGACAACCAGCAACGACCCTTCTACTGCTACTCCAGAGGCATCCTTTTAGCCAGGGCTTTGAATGACCTTATGCTGTTCACAATATTGCTGTTTCAGAAACACAATACATTAGGGTGAGAAAGGAGAAGACCCTCCACACAGCTTCCATGTAGTTCCCTGGACAGGATGCCTGCAAAGAGCACTCTTCACCATCAAGGGAAAGGAGTTTATGTCCCATTATGTAAGAGAAAGGCTCTTTCATGAAGCAGCCAAGCTCTATATGTTGGAGGTTCCTACTTTGAATCCGGGGTACAACCTGATCCTAGGAAAGCGGGGAGGGCCTCCCAAGCACATTTGAGCCAATCAGAAGATGTGGTGCATGGACCACCCTCCCAGATCTCGCATGAGCCAACCAGCACTTTTGATGTACACCATCCTTCTAGCAAACCACATGGCCACCCCTCCTTCTATGTTGCCTGATAGGCCAGCGCTGCTGAAGAACATTCCAAAATAGCTAACTACTCATGCACCTTCTAACCATAATCATCCTACTCCACTGGTAGGGAACCTACTTAAACCTGGAATGGGTCCCACCATGGCCACCTCTGATGTCACATCCATATATGACATCAAGCATAGGGCAAATGAAAATGTTGTGCCAATGAATGACTGGGACAACTGACAGGCAGTGACAGTAAGCCTGCAGTGAGCAGCTATGCTACAGAATTCTACATTGGGAATGTCGGAGTGCAGCTGATCCTAGCAGGCTTCCTATAAGTACCAAACAGTCATTTGGCGCTTATAGGAAGCATGATGCAATCGGGTTTACTACAGAATTCTGCTTAAGGAACTTCATAGCTTCTCTGATCTCAATATCTGATAGGCACTTACAGGAAGCTACACTTACAGAGGGTCCAAGATAAGGCCATTTTGAACTGAAGCCAGAGATGCAAAGAACCTTCCTTTGCATGCACAGCTTGAGATACCCCTTGCATTTGGGTTTTTTGAGGAGGGGTTTGGTTCATTTGACATCACTGTGAGACCAGGCGATTGACAGGTGGGAGGCCCCAGTCACCTGTCAAGATGGTCTATGGGGCACTGGGCAGCTGAGAATCTGGTCTACTGGGAGGATCCTGTTCCTTACCCTTATCCTCAGCCCTCCCTCTCCTCATCCCTTTCCAAATGACAGCCTCAAACACTCTGGCAGCAGCACCTATCCACTTCAGTCCTGTATTTTCTGTTCCCCTCATTCTTTCAGACACTAAACAAGCAAAAGTAATTAAGGGCACAACCCTGTGCTGAAGATTTGCCAGCATAGCGGGGCTTCTGTTGAATCCTGCAGGCCCTTCGCCGGGGGGAATCTTCGGTATAGGATTGTGCCCTTAATGACTTTGGCTTGTTTGTTTTTTTAGTGTCTGAGAGAATAAAAAAGAAAGCAGAGAACTGAAGCTGGTATTTAACACTTAGTTCTAAAATGTCAATGTTTGTGACAACAGAAGCACAGGGGTCAGCATTGACTGGGACTTTGTCAGTGATTTACTCTCCCGGGACCACTGCTGCAGAGTACAGTTCAATTGCTTTCACATCCACTTCTACTGAAAAGTGAAGCCCAGCCACACACATTTCTCACCATAGTATACAAACCTCTACATGTTTTCTCATCAGTGTTTGCCAGGTGGCTTATTCCACAGGTATGTGCGCAAAGGATTATAGCCTAGAACTATCAGCTTCATGAATAACTCCAAATGCTAATATATTCTGACTCCTTTAATAAAGTTTCTCAGAGACTAATGGAGTGGACAGGATGGAAAACTAACGTCCCACTTTTAGCTCAGGTTAGATGTGGCAAGGGGCTGCTAAGGCTAAGAACTTAAGAGGAGCCTGTTGAATCCGACCAATGGCCCATCTTGTCCAACCTCCTGTTCTCACAGTGACCAACCAGAAGCCTGTAAACAGGACCTGAATGCAAGAGCACTCTGCCCTGGGTTTTCTAGCAATTCAGAAGCATATTACCTATGACCGTGGAGGCAGAGCACAGACACTCCCTCCTCCAAGGGGTGGTGAGCCTAATATTATGCACAGGGGCTCTCTTTTACCTTCCTTGCAAGGTGAGACAGGCAGGGAGGCACCTTTTTCTGTTATTCACATTTTTCCATGTGTAGGACTGTCATTGTATGCTGGGTAATATATACTATGTAATATAATGGAGATCAGACTCAACAGTATTTGAGGGATGGGGAACCTGTTGCCCTTCTGACATTGTCGGACTCCAGCTCCCAACAGTTTCAGCCAGTATAGCCAAGGGTCAGAAATGACAGGAGTTGTCATTCAGCAGCATTTGGGGGGTGGGCACCGGTTCCCCATCTGGACTTTAAAGGAAAGAGCCAGTGTGGTGTAGTGGTTAAGAGCGGTAGACTCGTAATCTGGGGAACTGGGTTCGCGTCCCCATTCCTCCACATGCAGCTGCTGGGTGACCTTGGGCTAGTGACACTTCTCTGAAGTCTCTCAGCCCCACTCACTTCACAGCGTGTTTGTTGTGGGGGAGGAAGGGAAAGGAGAATGTTAGCCGCTTTGAGACTCCTTCAGGTAGTGATAAAGCAGGATATTAAATCCAAACTCTTCTATATGTGTCAGTGGCCTTCTAGTAACCAAGTAGCCCTCTATGCTTTTCATTCACGATTTGTATTA